AGTTTAGCCAGAGGATCCAAAGTTAATCTCAAGGCTTTGAGTAGAATAAGTGGGAGAATATGCCAGTTTTGTTTTCTGTTTCTATACCTTAAATGAAGGGTTATTTTCCTTTTACACCACTTGTCCTAACATGTCCTTAAGATGTTTGACCTGCCTCTGCCCCGGCTTGCAATGCATAGCTGAGGGAAAGCAGAGAGCTTGTCAAGGAAACAGGCAGGCATGGTGGCTCAGGGCATAGTCCCAGCACTTTGGGAGGCCAGGGTGGGAGGATCACTCAAGCTCAGGAGTTTGAGACCAGCCTAGACAACATACTGGAACCCAGTCTCTACAAAAATCTTTTTAAAATTCGCCACGTGTAGTGGTGTATGCCCGTAGTCCCAGCTACTCGGGAGCCTGACTGAGGCAGGAGTATCACTTCAGACCAGAAGGTTGAGGCTATAGTGAGTGATGAACACGTTGCACTTCAGCCTGGAGGACAGAGCAAGACCCTGTGTCAAAACACACACATGCGCACACACACAGAGATTGGATGTCTTTTCTCCTGATGTATTAGCTATTTTCATATGTCCTCAAAAATACTTCTCTGTCTCCAGAGGCCTGGCAGTGGCCAAGCCTGGAAGGACCCGGGTGGCGCCACCTGGTACAGGGTGAGGGTGTCAGTAAGAGACCTCAAAGGATTATCACTTCAAGCCCCGGGCCTTGTCCAGGAATACACAGGCTCTGTTGACGTAAGGTAACTTTGCCGTGTGAACTTTGTGGTGTGCCTGGTGGGTCACACCCACTGAGCATGTAGATGCCTCCTCCCTCCTATGCTGGCTGCTTCATTTCTGCACTCATAATCCTTACCATCTTCAAGATCGTCACTGAAAGATTCCTGTTTTATGTGTGGTATAAAGTGCTGTCTAAAGATGCTCTCTCAAACTGAATTCATGAAGATGGGAGGAACATCACAGAGAGCTCTGTACTTTTTTTTTTTTTTTTTTTTGAGGCAGTCGTGCTGTTGCCCAGGCTGGAGTGCAGTAGCGCGATCTCAGCTCACTGCAGTGTCCGCCTTCCAGGTTCAAGCAATTGTCTGCCTCAGCCTCCTGAGTAAATGGGATTACAGTCACCCGCTACCACGCCCGGCTAATTTTTTTTTTTTTTTGTATTTTTAGTAGAGATGGGGGTTTCACCATCTTGGTCAGGCCTGTCTTGAACTCCTGACCGTGTGATCCACTCGCCTCGGCCTCCCAAGGTGCTAGGATCAGAGGTGCAAGACACCATGCCTGGCCAGAACTATGTGACTTTTTTTTTTTTTTTTTAAGCAGGCATTAGGGCAGATACTTAGAAATTAAAGTCGAATTTTAGAAACTTTTATGCCCATCTTACATTTTAAGGTCTTTTAATGAGGAAAAAGTTGCATGACAGTATTTCCAAATCTGAAAGGAAGTCAACTCCTCTATTACAAGAAGTTCTTTCTTCTCTCTCTCTCTTTTTTTTTTTTTTTTTTTTTTGGAGATGGAGTTTTGCTCGTCACCCAGGCTGGAGTGCAGTGGTGCGATCTCAGCTCACTGCAACTTCTGCCTCCCGGGTTCAAGCAGTTCTCCTGCCTCAGCCTCCTGGGTAGCTGGGATTACAGGTGCCTGCCACTACGCCCAGCTAATTTTTTTATATTTTTAGTAGAGACAGGGTTTTTCATATTGGGTAGGCTGGTCTCAAACTCCTGACCTCAGGTGATCTGTCCACCTCGGCCTCCCAAAGTGCTGGAATTACAGGCCCGAGCCACCATGTGCAGCCTTTCTCTTTTTTTTAGACAGAGCCATTCTGTCCCCCAGGCTGGAATGCAGTGGTACAATCTGCACTCACTGCAGACTTGACCTCCCAGGCTCAAGTGATCTACCTCAGCCTCCCAAGTAGCTGGAACTGCAGGCACGCACCACCACAACCTGGTGATTTTTTTCTTTTTTTTTTTTTTTTTTTTTGTAGAGTCTGGGTTTTACCGTGTTGCCCAGGCTGGTCTCAAACTCCTGGGTTCAAACTATCCTCCCTCCTCAGCCTCCCAAAATGCTGGGATTACAGGTTATGAGCTACAATGCCCAGCTGTAAGAAGTTCTAATTCAGTGCCAACTTTCAGGTGCAGACCAGTTATATGATTCCATAAGCATCAATAATTATCCACCATACATCTTGTTAAAATTTCATTTTGTTTTAACCAACTTCAAGTAACAAATCTGGCCAATCATGTTAGTGACAAGGTGATGGGCAAGTCTGTTGGCCTCTCCCCGTGGCAGCAGTGCTCCTACTGTAGTGCTACCTCCAGAATTCAGACGGCTCAGATTTCTCAAAGGTATAAAGCAGAAGCTTTAAACATCCCCCAAACTGCAAGCTTGCTCTAACTTGCTCACCAGGAAGAATTACAGATTACATCCATTTACCGTGCCTCCTCGTTTTGACTTTATAAAACTTTGTAACTCTCCGTAACCTTTATCACATTATTTGCTACAGATGGCATCATGCTCCTTTCATGGAGTAGCTGATCTGTTTTGCAGGCTTAGAAATGGAAGTTTGGGGTCAGGCATGGTGGCTCGTGCCTGTAATCCCAGCACTTTAGGAGGCCAAGGCAGGTGATCACCTGAGGTCAGAAGTTTGAGACCAGCTCAAAAAACCCTGTCTCTACTAAAAATTATAAAAATTAGCTGGGCGTGATGGTGTCTGCCTGTAATCCCAGCTACTCAGAAGGCTGAGGCACGACAATCACTTGAACCCGAAAGAGGGAGGTTGCAGTGAGCCCGGATTTCACCACCGCACTCCAGTCTGGACAACAGAGTGAGACTCCATCTCAAGAAAAAGGAAATGGAGATTTGGGAAAATTAAGTCACTTGGGATCCCAGGAAATTTGAATCTGAGACTGAAACCTCTTAGTGGGATGGGTGAGCATACAGCAAATCATGTTGCGAGGAGAAAACGTGAAAAACAGTAGGGCCTGGCGTGGTGGCTCATGCCTGTAATCTCAGCACTTTGGGAGGCCAAGGGGTAGCATCACTTGAGGCCAGGAGTTCAAGACCAGCCAGGGTAACACAGTGAGACCTCCATCTCTACAAAAATGTTTTTAAAATTGGCCTGGCAGTGGTGGCACACACCTTTAGACCCAACTGTTCAGGTGGCTGAGGTGGGGTCACTTGAGCCTAAGAGTTCAGGTGAGCCCTGATCATGCCCGTGCCCTCCAGCCTGGGCAACAGTGTGAGACCCTGCCTCTGAAAACAGAACAAAAATATCAGTAGGGTGTCAGCTACAGGAGTTAATGTTTCCGTGCAGTCAAGTTAGGGTGAGAGGATGTGAACTGATGAGGATTTGAGTAGGTGAAAGACGGTAAGTGAACATTTCCATTACCATTAAGCCTCACTGATGTGGTTTCTTCAGAACTCACAGTACATGTGTGGCTCCCAAACTGAGTTTCAAAGTCTTGGGTTCATGGCGTTCCCCTGCCCAGCAAAATAAAGTGCAAATCTTCTGGAGCAACACATAAGTTCAGGCCTCAAATACTTCCAGAGATAAAGTCGTGAGGACACTAGCTCAGAATGGGGGAAGGGGAGCCTGCACCAAGAGTCAACCAGGATGACATGCAGAATCAGAGCTGCAAAGGCTGCAGATACTGTACTTATGAGACACACACAGAAAGCTTAAAGATAAATACCGATTTGGAAGTAGTAAGAACCCATCAAAACTGCTAAAATATAAGAAATCAAATAGGTCAAAAATAGAATCATTGGCTGGGCGCAGCGTCACTTGGGGAGTGAGGTAATCCCAGCACTTGGGGAGACCAAGGGAGGCGGGCAGATCACTTGAGATCATGAGTTCGAGACTTGCCTGGCCAATATGGTGAAACCCCTGCCTCTACTAAAAATACAAAACATAAGTCAAATGTAATGGCGCACGCCTGTAGTCCCAGTTACTCTAAAGGCTGAGGCAGTCGAATCGCATGGACCCGGGAGGCAGAGGTTGCAGTGAGCCGAGATCGCGCCACTGCACTCTAGCCTGGGCGACAGAGCGAGACTTCGTCTCACCAAAAAAAATAATAATATACATACATATATATATATATATATATATATACACACACACACATACATACACATATGTCTTTGAAATTAGTAAACCAGTAGTGGATGTGTTAAAGAGATTGCACATAGCTGAAAAGAAATAAAAAATCTGTTCAGCGCCGTGGCTCACGCCTCTCATCCCAGCATTCTGGGCGGCTGAGTCAGGAGGATCACTTGAGGTCAGGAGTTCGAGACCAGCCTGGCCAACATGGTGAAACCCCATCTCTACTAAAAATACAAAATTATCTGGCCTGTAATCCCAGGTACTCGCAAGGCTAAGCCAGGAGAAGTACCTGAACCCGGGAGGCAAGGGTTGCAGTGAGCCGGGATTGCGCCACTGCACTCCAGCCTGGGCGACAGAGCGAGCCTCCATCTCGCAAGAAAAAAACCCGAAAATCTGAGTAAGTCACACTGTGCAGTAGGGAGAAGTGGGCGAAAGGAAGACGGCCACACTGCCGGGTTTCAGGATGAGATGGGCGCTGAAGGCGCATTCACAGAACCCCGGGAAGAGCCAGCTTAGATGGGAGGTACCAGGAGAGGGGAGGCGCCGGGCGCGGACTGAGCCGGGCGCAGTGCCGCAGGGAACGCAGGCGCATCAGGGCGGTCGGGGTGGAGGCGCAGGCGCTGAACCTTCACCTAAAGCCGCTGGTGCGTGCAGAGCCTGGGGACGCGAACGAGGTCACTGGACGGCCAGGGTGGTCGAGACGTGCTCAAGCTAGCGCGCGCTGCGGACGGCAGGCGCGACCACAGCCGCCCCGCAGCGCCCACCAGCCGGCCTGGCCAGGAGCGCCCCCAGCCCCCCTCAGCCGCGCTTCCGGCCCAAAGCCCGGCTTCCTCTGACGTCACGGCCCCTGCGCCCCCTGGCGGCGCGGCCGCCGCGGGACGCGCGGGCACCGCCCCCTCCGGCTGGCGGGCGGGACTTCCGGCGAGTGAGTGACGGGCGCAGCCTCGGCAGCGGCGGCGGCGGAGCCCTGAGGCGACAGCAGCTGCAGGAGGCGACGGGCCGCGGCCTGCGGGACCTGAGGCAGCCGGGGCGGGCCGGGCGAGCCGGCCGGATAGCTAGCCGCGCTGGCGGCGGCGGTGGCCGCGATGATGGAGATCCAGATGGACGAGGGCGGCGGCGTGGTGGTGTACCAGGACGACTACTGCTCCGGCTCGGTGATGTCGGAGCGGGTGTCGGGCCTGGCGGGCTCCATCTACCGCGAGTTCGAGCGCCTCATCCACTGCTACGACGAGGAGGTGGTCAAGGAGCTCATGCCGCTGGTGGTGAACGTGCTGGAGAACCTAGACTCGGTGCTCAGCGAGAACCAGGAGCACGAGGTGGAGCTGGAGCTGCTGCGCGAGGACAACGAGCAGCTGCTCACCCAGTACGAGCGCGAGAAGGCGCTGCGCAGGCAGGCGGAGGAGGTGCGTGGGCCGCGGGACCCGCCCGCACCCCCGTCCCGGGCCCCCGACCCCCCCCCAGCACCCAGGACTCCCGGACCCCTCAGCGCTCACCCTGAGACCCGCCTGGACCCCTGCCCCACTCACCGGGACTCCCCCACCCCCTCTGCCCGCCGCGAGACACCTCCCTAGAGCACCCCCGCCTGCCCAGGACCCCACCCCAACACCAGGGACCCCGTCACCCCCAGGCCTGGGCCGTGGCCCCCTGCCCCGGCCCCAGCCCTCAACCCTCAACCCCAAACCCGCTGTGCTTGGCGTCATCCCCGGGGAGCTCAGCCTCAAAGCCAGGCCTCGCTGTCCTCTCCCACCCACCTCTGCATGCCAGCTCCCTTTGCTTTGGTGCCTGTGTTTAGTCAAAACCGTTTTCCAGACCCCAAGTGCTGCTACCTCTGTTAGCTGCCATTCTAAACCCATCTCGAAAAGGAATCTTTGGTTTTCTGAGGGTGCTGCGGCTGTCTGTTGATGATGTCCGAGACCTTTCCCTTGTCCCCGATCCCGTATTTTGAAGGTCTGACGGGTGAATTGACTGGTTGATGTAAACACAGAACAAGGCCCCAGACGAGCTGCCCCTGTCAGCAGGCGGAACACTCGCGTTCTAGAGGTGATCGCTTTGCCCCTTGGTTCCTTGCCCGGTGAGATTGTTAGCTGATGTAGCCAGCGCTGAGAAACTCCACTCTGGCTTCTGAGGAGTTAAAAGTCGGAGTTTGAAGCGTTTAATTCTGGTCTAGGATGTCTCCATAACCTGGAAATCGCTGATTTGTGAAGCAGTTGGAAGAGCAGTGCCCTGTAGGGAGTACCACTTAGCTTCATTCATTCATATCAGACACTAAGTTGGGCCTGCCTGTGTGTGGGCCCAGAGCCTCGCCCTTTGTCGGAAGCAGGTTCAGGGAGCGCTGGTTCCCATCCCTGGTTTGCCTCTGTGACCTTGGCCTGTCGCCTGTCTGGGTTTTGATTTTCCATCAAAGGAGTGAATTGTGCTAGGCGGTCTCTAAGCACAGACATTTTCCCATTCTAGGAGTTAGGTGATGCTGTTGGACTTATGAATAGGAAGTACCTTAGGAAATGACTTTGAATTCCTTTTCAATTAATTTGGCTTAACATGTTCTTGACTTTAATATGAAAAGGGTTTTTCAGCATTTTGGCTTTTTCTGAAACCAAAGTGAGTTATGCCCTAGTTTGGTTTAAAGCATGTTTAAAAAAAAAAAAAAAAAAAAAACAGTGTGTGATATCATTGCTCCTTACTGTGGTTTCTGTTGCATTTGGGTTTCCTGCTGTCCACAGGCAGTTATGTGTTGATTGGAATGCCCCGGTTTCACCAAACTGAGTTAAAGCTCTCAACTAAGGGAATGCAAGAGTTCATGGATTTTGGAGCTCAGGGTGACAGTAGGCATTTTACTAGGAAGGAAACTGGCCCCGAGAAGTGGAAGAGCTGAACTAAGGTCACCCACCCCAGAAGTGCCCAGCCGGGATGCAGAGTGAACGCGATGCAGGCCTGGGTGACTGCTTCCATGTTGGGCAGCTGCGGGCGCTGAAGGACTACTCCCCAGAAGCCTGGAGCGCCGGGGCTCCCCTTGCTCAGCTGTGGAGCTGTGGCTGCCTCCCGGTGCTGGGCACCACCCTCCACTTCTCTCCCACTCTCAGTGGCCTGACCTAGATTTCCGGTGGGTTTCTTTTCTTTTACCTTGGACCTATGTGGCCATTGTAGTGGTTGAGAAGGAACTAGAAGGAGGAAATCAAGATGGACAACGTTAAGGGTAGGAATTATAACCTTGCGGCTTAAAAATGAGCTCTGCATGGGATAGGTGCTGCCCGGCTCTGTGCAGTTCACATGCAAGCTGCAGTGAGTGCCTCTGCCCTCCCCCAGGGCTTGCACTGGACTGAGCCGGTGGGTGTGCGTGTGGTTTGCAGAGCTATCGACTTTAGGCTGAGACCCACCATTGCCTCAGCTCTTTAGAGAAGCTGCACAGAGAGCTTTGGGAGCCGAGCCTCGAAGCCCACCAATGCTTGGCCAGCATGGAGGCTGTGATTAAACGCTAATAGTGCGCCCTTGGAAAGACCTCAGGGCTTTACAGCTAAGGAAAAGGGCTCATTGCTGTCAACATTTGGCATGCTTACTCCTCTTCTGAGTCAAGCAGACATTCACTTCCAGCTTTGTGGAGAGACCATTGTGCCCTGTGGGCCGGCTTCTTTTCTAGGCAGGGACTGGTGATCACTTAGATGTGTGTCTGATGAGAGGAGAGCAGGACGTCACAGGCTGCAGGCTTGTCTTGTTGCAGAGGCGCTCCTGGGTGAGCTGTCAGCCGAAGCTCCGTCCCCAGCCACTCTGCTCTAGAAGGCTTAGTCAGAGATGGGTAACCTGAGCCACTGCAGCCTCTGAGCAGACAAAATCTGCAGGGTTTGGAAAAAGCATGAGCAGAGCAGACATCCCTCCCTGTTCCCTTCGTCTTACCACTAATAACCACAGCGATGCCCAGTGTGCTCTGATACCAGGCAGCTGGGTGTATGGGAGTGATAGGAGCTAAAGAGGGTGGGGTCCTGAGAGAGTGACCCAAGCTGTGGCGTCCACAGTCGCCAGCCCACGTGCCAGCCCGGCCCTCAGGAGCCACATACCCTGGGCCCATCCTCTTCCCCTCACTGGGCTGCACGGGCCTCGGACGTTGCAAGTCAGTTTTATTTTAGGAGCCAAGCACCATCACTGGTTGTTGGTTGCCGGGAGAGTTGTGGGCAGGAGATTGAGCAGGGTCAGGGCAGAGCCCTTGACGGATTCTTAGGACCGCCTGGGATGGCAGGCACTGGACATTGCTACCCACCTCCCATGGGCCAGACAGTGCAGTTTCTGGTTGTGCAGGATCTGATACAAAGTTTCTTTAATCCCTCAAGTTCTTTCTCAGTGGGAAAGAAGAAGGTTGGAAACAGACCTGAGTGGGGTGGGGCTGGCGAGGAGCAGATGCTGCGTCTACAGGCACCATCCCGTGCAGTCCCAGAGGAGGGCCCTGCAGAGCCGCCACGTTTGCCATGCTTACCCGGGCAGCAAAGAGCCCTTCTCCCTGTAGTGACCAACCGCTTAGCTTGTAAGAGGAAATATGAGGTATTTTTTTACCTTGAAATATGAGAGGCGACATGTGAGTGTTAGTAGTCATTGTTTGCCTTAAAATGTTCTTAACCCTAAAGAAACTGCGGTAACAGCCCAGGCTCATGGCAGGCAGCTGGAGCGCGTGTTCTGTCAACACCCCCAGACCCCGATGTTCACTGATCATTCAGCATTTGATGCTGTGTAAGGAAAGGGTGCAAGGGAAGACAGCTTTTGTTTTTGTTTTGTTTTGTTTTATGAGATGGAGTCTCACTCTGTTACCCAGGCTGGAGTGCAGTGGCGCGATCTCGGCTCACTGCAACTGGATTTAAGCGATTCTCCTGCCTCAGCCTCCCAAGTAGCTGGGACTACAGGCTTGTACGAACATGCACAGCTAATTTTTTCATATTTTTAGTAGGGACAGGGTTTCACTGTGTTAGCCAGGATGGTCTCGATTTCCTGACCTTGTGATCCGCCCACCTTGGCCTCCCAAAGTGCTGGGATTACAGGCATGAGCCACCACGCTTGGCCTAGGAAGAGTTTTATTCAAACTTATTTCTCCCCAGCTAAATAAAAGTTACTGGCTAGGCGCGGTGGCTCACGTCTGTAATCCCAGTACTTTGGAAGGCTGAGCAGGTGGGAGATGAAGTCTCACCATGTTGCCCAGGCTGATCTCAAACTCCTAGGCTCAATCAGTCCTCCCACTTTGGCCCCGACATTTGACGTTAAACTCCTGACCTCATCTCAGGTCAGGAGTTTGAGACCAGCCTGTCAATATGGCGAAACCCTATCTCTACTAAGAATACAAAAAAAAAAAAAAAATGGCCAGGTGTGGTGGCGGGCACCTCTAGTCCCAGCTACTCGGGAGGCTGAGGCTTAAACCTGGGAGGTGAAAGTTGCAGTGAGCCAAGATGGCGCCATTGTACTCCAGCCAGGGCGACAGAGTGAGACACTGCTCAAAATAAATAAATACATGAAAATAAAATATAAATAAATAAATGTCGTCCATTTCATAGAACACGTGGATAGGATTAAGCTGGAGGACACAAACACCATAATCCTGCTCCAAGAGATTATCAGTTTGCCGTTTTTTCCTCTTTTTTTCCCTCTACCCCGATGATCTGCAGGAAGTTTTTTTCATATATGAATTAAGACACTGAATGAAGAATTTTTATTTTTGTTTTTCATATGACAAATAGTAAATTCACCACTGCTTGGCCAGGGTATGTGATTTCTTCCCCTGCCATGTTATGATGTTAAGAACAGCTTTTCAGTAAGTTTTTGTAATGAAGCTGTGAAGGTGGGGCAGCCAGGGCTTCCTGTCCCAGGTGCCGCTGAAAGCCAGCCTGCTGCAGCTGCACCGCTCACCAGGAGTACAGCAGTCTCCCTAAAAAGTGGAGCAAATAGATGGAGGAGCAATGGAGAAGGAGGTGCCTGCCAGCCAGAGGGAACACAGGGCAGAGGCCAAGGTGGTCTGGAAGCTGCTGGGCACAGCCTGCCCTTCTGCTGCTTGGCTGCGGGAGCCCCCGGGCCACACTGGCAGCAGCCACACAGGGTTGAGAGCTGGGAGAATTCAGTTCTTCCAGAATTAACATTTCCAGATGAAATGTACTATCTGTTTGTTTCATTTTTAAGTTTTTAAAAACCGTTTTGAAATAATGTAAGAAAGGTTGCAGAATTAACACTCCTCGCCCCCAGCTTCCCAAGGGCGGGCATCTTCCCACACTGTTCTCTCTGGCTGTGCGAGGGTCTCAGAGGTGTCTGTGTCCCCATCTCCAATGTTCTGGGGTGCCCCTCATTCTCCGCTCTTTGTGACTTTGACCGCTGCGACAGCACAGGTCAGTCACTTTGCAGCTGTGCCTCAGTCTGGCTCATGGGCTCTGGGGACCAGACA